CCTATTTTTTTAATATGTTACTTTACATATAGATATATATAGATATATAGATATTTTTCTTATTACAATGTGTTTGTAAAATATAACAAACAAAAAAAAATCCCTGTTAATGTTCAATGCTTTAGCAATACCTGTAAATCGTAGGTCATGCCAATAAAGCTATTTCAAACCTCAAACCTCTCCTCTCCTCTCCTCTCCTCTCCTCTCCTCTCCTCTCCTCTCCTACGATCCCCGAATATCAGACAAACTGCTCTCTATTTCAAATGCAAAATATTGCATAAAGCAAAGCAATGAAGCGACACTGAATGGCCGATCAAAAATATTGCTCTTCATCACGCCCAAAAATATTCCAATCAAATTTTTAAAATATTAATAATTCTAACTTGTTTCCATCTTTTCCTTGTTATTTTAGTCAAAAATAAAACACGAAATCATTTTCCTGGAAACTAAAGCCATTATAGTACGAGTTCTGTTGAGGAGGTGACGTCATCATCGATATCAAACCACTTAATAACAATTAATGTCACATCATGTCTTTTGATTGGTTGTTTTCCTTACAAAGCACAGCAAGGCATTTCCATTCATTGACACATCCTCGTCATGGCGGATAGATGTCGCTTTATTTCTTCGTTTCGTCGTTCCAGTGTTTTACCTATCGATTCCTTATTACATTTCTAAACATGGAAAAACCTTCGACGAAGCCTAGAAGTTCTAATTCACGCGAACACTGTAGCAATATCTTGAATACTCTAAACAGTCAACGACATGAGACAGTTTTATGTGACGTGACCCTGGTTGTAAAAGATACCAGTTACCCTGCTCATAGGTGTATTCTAGCAGCGAATAGTCCTTATTTTCACAAGCTTTTCACCAGCGACATGGCAGAAAAAGCCCAAGAAATCATCCGAGTTGAACTTGAACAGCTCCAGATAAATCGTTCAGTTATGGATGACTTGTTGTATTACTTCTACACGGGCAATTTAAATATCTACACCACAACCGCTCAAGATTTACTAGTAGTTGGGGACTATTTTTTGATAACGGACCTAAAAAACGCGGCTTCTAAATTCATGGAAAGTATGCTTTCAGAAGAGAACTGTCTTCTTGCTAAAGCTCTGGCAGAGAGATATAATTCAGAACAGCTTTACAAAGCAGCTAAATTATTCATTGAAGAGAACTTTTCTGTCGTGTGTCAGACGTCTGAGTTTCAAGAGTTGCCATTTTCCCAGTTGCAAGAATTGCTATCGAATGATGATTTAGTTCTGAACGAAGAGAAAGAAGTGCTTGATGCCATTTTTGCTTGGGTGAATTATTCTCCTAAAGACAGAAAAAAATATTTCGACCAATTATTTTCTCAAGTTCGTCTGGTATCTTTTCCCAGTGAACTCTTGGATAAACTGTTATTGAATGAATTCATACAAAATAATGATGTGTGCTCCAATCTCATCAATCAACTGATTGAAGCCCGGTCAAGTTCTCTAGTAGAAGAGAAAGGGATCCCAGACGCTAGAAAATGTCTCCAGCCACCGTTGGAGGTGGTATTAACGTGTGGTGGCATGTCACTTCATTATCCAAACCACTCGCCTTTGACTCGGTGTTATGTGCCTGAGACGAACAAATGGTATGACATGAAAGCAATGGCATCGAAAAGAAACTGGCATGGATGTACTACATACGGGGACTGTCTGTACGCGGTGGGAGGTGAAGTTGACGGGACTGTGACTGCATCTTGTCAAAAGTTCGACTTCGTGAAGAATTCTTGGGAAAGCATCGCGCCATTACTACGACCGACTATCTTCCCGGCTGTGGTGGAAATGAATGGAAAGTTGTACGTCATTGGAGGAGTCCGAAACAATCGCGCGCGTTTACAGATTTACAATCCTGTAGCTGATACATGGACATACGGGACTTGTCTGAGCGTTGCTAGGGAGATCACGTGTGCTGTTGCTAAGCCGCCATACTTATACGCCATTGGAGGGCTCCAGAGTGACTTAGGGACTTATATGAATTCAGTAGAGAAGTATCATCCTGATTTTGACTGTTGGATATCTGTGAGGGAAATGATTCAATCAAGGGCTGGTGCGACTGGAGTGACGTTAAATAACTGTATCTACGTTGTAGGAGGTGAACACGACTTGCGAATGGCACACTCTAGCTGTGAACAGTACTTTATTGCGTACGACGAATGGCAAATGATTGCTAGTATGCGTGTCCCAAGGTACTTTGCGGGGGCCACTGTCATAGGTCAAGGATTCTACGTGTTCGGTGGTGTCGGAGGAACGAACGTTGACTTGTCTGACAAGCTAGTAATCGAGTACTATGACGCTAAGACGGATCGTTGGAAGAGTGATATGGAGATGCCGTGGAGTGAGAGGTACTTTAGATGTGGCATGATATGGGCGCGCAAACATCTCTTACGAGGTTTGAGCGTATTAGAGAAAGCGGACTAGAGGATACAGTATGTGAGTGTGAAGGGAAGGGGCGAGACTTTATGGAAAGAGGAAGGTGAAGTGAAAAGATTATATTATAGATTATTAGAATAGGATGTTTGCATCATGGCGTCTATCATGCACTACCATGCAACTGAAATGCTTCGTTTATTTATTTTCTTCTTTAAGTTTGTATTCCCTTTTGAAAACAGTAAGACCATGGACAGAAGAAAGTGTGCAAGGGATTCTGATTGTGATAGTAAATGACGCCATATAAAAGTATAATATTGGTGCTAATTAACTGAAGAAAATTGGAAATCAACTCCTAAATTCCAATTCGATGAGAGACGAGGGCCACAGTTTTGTTATTCATTGACTAGGCTATTAAGTGCTACTCTTATTTTTAAGAACAAGGACGGTTTTCAAAGTGTGCAAGAGAGTGTGGTAGTCGTAGGTAATGACGTTTGAATGCAAATGGCATATTAGAGATAAAAGTCTCCAGAATGTATTGGCAAACCGCGACTACAACTGGAGGACATTTATGCTGAGCAACATAAGAAAGAAAGGAAATTAAAGAAAATCGAAGATAAGAAAACGTGAGAGAAGCAAAGAAAACGAAAGGAAGGAAAGAAAAGCGGAGAGAAAAAAGCTTTCATAAACACAAAAGAAAAAAGCTCAGTTGTGAATGCGAAAAAAGGAAATAGTGAGTCGATGTTGGAACAAGCGAACGAATTATGAAATGAATGACAAACAAAAAGAACAAACTTAAGAGAATGCAAAATGATCTATGTGCTCCTAAAATGCCAGTGCTGATAAAATGTTAAAAGTGCATGTAATAAATGGTGAGATCTAGAAAAGTACATGCTTGATTCTGCAATTTAAAACCGGCCACACAACAAGAATAAACCCCCATTTTTGTTTTTATTGTATTTGATACAATTCGTTAATATTCGTATACATATTTAGATTTATCGCTGAAATGATTAACTACAGTCTTGATCCAATCTCTAAAATACCTGACACTAGTATACCCATCGAAGACTTGCTTATCAGAACACCCCTTTAAGCCCCAACTAACAATCCCCTCCAGGTACCATCTCCCTCGGGACTCACACACCATGGGCCCTCCCGAGTCCCCATGGCACGTACCCTTGCCGATTTCGAGCCTTCCTGCGCAAAGTACCGAAGGGTGCCTTATAACTTCACCGAGATTTTTGATTTCGTATTTACTGAACGCCGCCAAGCATCTAGCTTTACTAGCTAAGGAAACTCGCAGTTCCTGTAAGGCATCGACTGGAGTACTTCCAACTTGAGTGAGACCCCATCCAGCTACCCAACACTGCTCGCCATCGTAAATGGGTACCGAGGGTTCTGGGATACATACGGTACCAACCTCTTGATTCAGTTGTGCTGGGTGCTCTAGTTGTAATAAGGCTATATCGTTGTGATTGGTTGTGTAGTCCCAGGCTGAGTGGACCAAGATTCGTTTGACACGGATTTTCTGTTCGCGTCCACTACTGGTATCGCGTTGATGTTCGCCAAGACTGTTCATTGATAAATAAAAAATGATACGAGTAGTTGGTATAGTATCTGAATGTCAATAAGCGCGCGTCATTTTTATTATAACTGTTGTTGTTGTTGTTTATCAATCAAAAATAGAATAGACCATTTCAAATTTAACAATACTTCAACAATACAAACACTTTGAAAATCCAAAAACCTTCACTGCAACTCCCCAAAATTCTACTCAAAATCGAGGCTAACCCTGAGCAACAATAACACAGAACTTGAAACTGAATTCAGCAATGCAGAGGAGGACCTAGAGTTATTCCAAGTGCCTTTGCGTGCTTATTATCTTCTTTTCTTTCAAACTGTTTATTTGCATCTTTTTTTGTAATTGTACTTTTTCTACTAAAGAGGCTAATACCAAAGGTGTTGCTTGAGTATTTGATGAAGAAGTTCGACTTTAATTTGGCAAATTAAAGTAGCCAGTTGTAGGATCTGTACTGAACCTGAAAGTACTCCAAACTACTCAAGTGTTTTAATAAAGATCTCTAAATTTCTTGAGAATGTAGGAAATAGATAACGCTAAAAGACATAGTGACGTGCACCCTGGATCATCCTCAGGGACCAATGTCAGTGATCGCAAAAGCGAGCTGGGGGAGGGTTTTTCGAAATTCGAAGTTTAAATATGTCATAAAAGTTATAGTTCGATAGTTGAGGAACACTTTGGTTTTAAGATTTAAGTTAAAAATTGTGTTACGACATGGTGACCGGATACTGAATTAGTGGAATTAGTGCCATTAAGGTACACTTTACGCCCAACCCCTTGATCTCGTTCATATGAACAGCTAGTGCTTTCGAATGATACGACTTCCCTAATAAGTATAATCATTAAGGACTTACGTGACAGTCAAAAGCTTTGACTCGCTCCACCACGCCCACTTTCCTTTTGGCTTCAAGCAATGAGCAGCCGTTAGTACCCAGTCTTTCCGTATGAGTGCTCCACCACAAATGTGCGTTCGTCCTGGTACGGACTCTCCCTTGTAGATGAATGGTGGATGGTTGATCTGGACCTGCCAAGGCCATTCGTTCTCAGACGCTTCGCTTCCTCCAACGATTCTCTTGTTAATGTTATTAACTGGTTTGACTCCACACTCTTCTTCTTCTATTCAAAAAAGAATGTAGACTCAGACTGTCTCTTTTTATAGCATGTTTAATATAGTGGGAAATGCTCACAAGCTAGAAGTTCTTCAGCTTTTATGAGACTCAAGCAGATGGAAAGGAATGGGGTTACAGTAGCATGTATAGTGGTGTGAAAATGCTCAGACTAAATTTGTTGAGTTGGTTTGTTGTTTTTTTTTTAATTTTGTTCTTTTTTTTTTTTTTTTTTTTTTTTTTTTTTTTT